TATAGCCATTTAGGAGAGTGGGCAAGTTACAAATTAGTTGACCTAAATTCAATTCCACCCACCAGTTCCTATATATAGCATTAATTTCCATTACCAACCACTAACTTCAATTTAAGATTGATAACGAAATAAGGCCTCAATTGGCCACATTCAACTTGCTGATTTCTACATAAACTGCTGTGACATTTTACATTCTAATTAAAAGTTTGTGGTTCATGCATTGTATTATTATTATTATTATTATTATTCTTATTATTATTATTATTATTTATTTATTATTATTCGAACTTGCTTAGTGTTTATGGAGGTAATAGTCACATAAACACACAGGCACTCAAATTAATTGATAAACACCAAAATGCATTTTGAATATTAAGTCTTATTTTTCATTTTTTTGAATGCGATGGTTCATGTATACTTATTAATTTTATTATATTAAACTAGTATTTTATGCTCAATGATTGCATATCCTTGAAAATAATGAAACTAACCTGCCCGTGAAAGCTGCGCACGATAGCGGTGGAGCGGCAGGTGAAAGAAGTTAACGAGTTTGGTGGGATGTGAAGATAAATAGGTGGGCCATGGGTCCCAGCAGGCCCATTAATAGATAAGAACTGGTAGACAATATCCTTTTTTTCCTTTTTCAATGGAGCCGTTAAAGCCCCGAGGCCCATAAGAAGTAAGTGCTTGATGATATTCGTAGCCCACCATGGGCCCATCCACCGCTTCAGCCCGTGACCGCGATTTATGTTTCTCCTCTGACCGAACCAAACTAATACGGTCAACTCCCCGTAATTTACCTCTTTTGTTGGGCAGCTTTTACTGTAGCAGATATTTATGGCTCGTGGGGCCCACCCACGACACTAACCCACCTGTTCCTTTTAAACTACCTACCACATTATAAAAAGGAAAAAAAAAATCAATCAATATAATTGAAATAATATAAAATTATGGCGTTATCTAAAGTCATAAATATCATGCATGATAGAAGTCTCTGACTGTTCGAACGTCTAGGGTGAGCAAAATCCAGTCTGAAATCATAAAATTGAGTTGAATTGTGTAATTTTATACGGTTCGATTTTTATGTAAAATTTAATTTCGGTTAGATTTTTCCTATATTACGTTATGGTGCAACTAGTTTTTAGAGACAAATGATGTAAACCAATTTGAAAAGGGAGAATTTTATATATACACAGCGATTTAAGAATAATTGCAACAATACCAAGGGTTGTATTTTAATTGAAAACTTACGCATGGAATTTATTTTGTGATTATTCAAGATGTCAGTTATCCCAAAAAAATAGATCAAGTCTCCTCAAATTGGGGGATTACAAATAGACCACGTACAAATAGATCAAGTCTCCCAAAAAAAAAGGTAAGTGTATATAACATACAAATTAGGAATCAAGTCAATCATGTATATTTCTTTCAACGTTTTTTTTTCGT